GTTTATCGTTGGAAAAAAAAAAAAGAAACACGAAAAAGAAGAAAAATAGAAGGTGTTGAGGTGTCATTGAGGGGACCATTATAGAGGCAGTGTTGATATATTATGATATTCAGTCGTGTTTATACATTAGTTTCGAGTTATGTTTGTTATGCACTTGTTGAGGATAAAAAGAACTAACAAAAAATACAGTTAAAAAAATGATATTAGTATAATTAGTATAAATTATATTATTATAAATTAGAAATAATAATAGTTTGAAGAAATTATATTAGTATAAATTATTATGCTATATATTAGAATTGATTATCTTATAAATTAGAATTTATTACTATTATGTTAAAAGTTAGAAACTATTGTATTATAGATTAGAACTGATTGTCTTATGAATTAGAATTTATTACTATTTTGTTAAAGGTTAGAAATTATTGTATTATTGATTAGAATTGATTCTGTTATAAATTAGAATTTATTACTATTATGTTAGAATTTGGAAACTATTATGGTATAAATTAGAATTGATAGTCTTAAAGTAATATTTAATACTATTATGTTAGATGTTAGAAATTATTATGGTATAGATTAGAAATGATTGTATTATATATTAGAATTTATTTATATTTTGTTAGAGGTTGGAAATTATTGTATTATAGAATAGAATTGATTGTCTTATAAATTATAATATATTACTATTTAGTTAGATGTTAGAAATTATTATATTATAGATTAGAATTGATTATGTTATAAATTAGAATTTATTACTAATATGTTAGAAGTTAGAAATTATTATGGTATATATTAGAAATGATAACCTTATGAAGTAATATTTAGTACTACTATGTTAGAAGTTAGAAATTATTATGATATAGATTATTACTATTATAAATTAGAATTTATTACTACTTTATTAGAACGCTTTTCCTACTATAATATTCACACGAATCATATAACTCTAAGAAAAGTGTCAAATAATCTTGTTATAAAATTCGATCAAATCATATTGAATTAATCGGTTTAAATGAATTGCTGTAACAAAATTTGATTTTTTTTGTTCAATTTGTTATTTAAATTGGTATTTATGAATTTCAAATTTAGGTCAGAATATTATTTTGTATTTTAAAATTTGTTAGCGAGTTGAAAAGGAGCAGATATAAGAAAAAAAAATGGGACTACAATTTTGTTAGAGATAATTAATATTATGTTATATAACATAATAATTTCTAAGTTCTGACATAATAATAATAAAATTCTAAAAGATAATAATTATAATTTACAATATAATAATTTCTAAAAATTCGAACTATAAGATAATAATTTTAAGAGATAATATAATATCTAAATTCTAATATAATTTATATAATAAATAATAATTTGATTATAAAAAAAAATGAAGATAAACTCGTGTGGCCTAAATATATTATAATACTAATTATAATTTCACTAATATATATATATATAATAATTATAACCAAGGTTCTGAAAACCGGGCCGGTCATCGAACCGGTCTAGCTACTGGTTTAATGGTTCACTGGTTCGACCAGTGGTTGAACCGATATTTAATCTTAAATACTTTTAAACATATATATATTATTTTATATGATAAAACTTATATATAAAATTTTGTTAATTAATTATTAAGACAATTTAAAGCATTCAAATACTTAAACTAATTAATAGTAACTTATATATATCTATAATATTTAAATATTTTTTTTTTCTTTCACTAACAAAAAAAAAAATGAAAGTAGGATGATAAGTGTATTTTCTTTTATTATGTAAAAGCCCATATTATTTTTCCATATTTCATGTTCATTTAGTTAAATTTAATCACTTATCAATTTAACATAAAAATAAGTTTAATTAATAATAGTGTGATATTCATCTTGACATACATAGTGAATGTGTGTTAAAGCATGAACCATTTAGTCCCACATTAATTTTGAAAACAAAAAAGAATGCAAAAAGTAGCTATAAAAGGTTAGAAGCATGGGACAATCCCACATTAATTATAAACACAATAATAAAGGCCAAAAATGGCTATAAAAGGTTGAGAAACTGAAAACTTTGATTTGCAATTATCTCACATTGAATGAGAAAGTTCAATGAAAGACAAAGGAATAACTATAAATGTTGTAGCAACTTGCATTAATTATTATTAATCGGTTTCTCTAATATTTAATAATAATAAAAAATTATATATTTTTTATAATATTTAAATTTTTATATAAAAAAAAGTTGGGTCGGTCGCAGTCGGGCAGCCGAGCGAGTTGCGGCCGCTATTAGCGGCTAGCCGACTCCTACAAAAAAGAAAAAAGTTTAAAATTAAAAAAGGCAAAATTGCCTTTTAAAGTGACAATATTTAGCAAAATTGTTATTTGTACTTTAATTTGAATAGTCCGATGTACCATAGTATTTTCCGATATATAATATATTCCGATATATGTGTATAACATTAGGTCAACGGCAGGCAGGCGGTATGAGAAATTATGATTATATTCCTCCCAAATCAGTGACCCTTTTCATTGGCAGTAGTTTTAAAGGCATTAAACCTCTTTATTACGAGTGGGATAGACAGAAGACTATTCAAAGCCTAAACGAAAGGTCCTTACAAATCTTGGCACTAGTTTGAAAGAGACGGACACTAACTACTCTACATTGATCAATTTTGTGGCTTATAAAACGGGTGGTATAAGGAAAGAAGTTTTATTGGGAGACTAGCAAATAGAAGAATACATTAGAGCGAGCAATAGAGAGCCGCAGAACTAATCAACTAGCTAGTTAGTTCTCACAATTTGAATTAGATAGGCACTCTCACATGGGTTTTGAAGTAGAAGAGAAAGGCAATAATGAGGGTGGCTACACAGAAGACGGGACAGTCGATCTCAAAGGCAAACCAATTCTAAGATCCAAGACGGGTCGATGGACGGCTTGTTCCTTTATTGTTGGTAGGTACTAATTTATTATAATTCCCTTCTCGGAAATACTATGGTCTCGTTACGGAATCAATCCATCGGGAGTTATACCCATCATGTTACTTTTGGGGATAGTTGATCTAACGGTTACTAACCCGTTAGATCTACTAATGATGGCAATAATTACAACACATGTAATTACGCATGCTTTGCGTTCCTTTTTCTTTTCATCAGATTATTAATTATGTTTCAAATGCATTTTCTTCAATTTGAATGAAGCAAACAATTAATTATTGAAATGATTGTCAAATTATTTTTGGACATGAACGTGTGCAGTGTACGAGGTGTTTGAGCGCATGGCATATTATGGGATATCTTCGAATTTGTTCATATATTTGACAAGAAAACTGCATGAGGGCACTGTTGAATCGTCAAACAACGTCACCAATTGGGTTGGCACGATTTGGATGACCCCTGTTCTCGGTGCCTACGTGGCTGACGCTATTTTGGGCCGATACTGGACTTTTCTCATTGCCTCGGCCATCTATCTTTCTGTATGTTTTCTTTGCTAATTTTATTATACTTATTTTTATTTATTTGTTTTATCAAATTTATAATGCTACTTATATCATAACCTGTAATCTCCAACGTGCAATTTTGAATCAAATTTGGTCGATAATTTTACTGTGTACAGGGAATGTCCTTGTTAACTCTGTCGGTATCAATATATCCGCTTAAACCGAGTCCATGTTCAGATCCAAGTGGCTCCCACTGCGAGAGAGCCACTCCGCTTCAACTAGGTGTGTTCTTCGGTGCACTCTACATATTGGCATTGGGCACAGGCGGAACAAAGCCCAATATCTCAACTATTGGGGCGGACCAATTTGACGAGTTTGACCCAAAGGAGAAAGCCCATAAGCTTTCCTTTTTCAACTGGTGGGAATTCAGCGTCTTCTTCGGCACTCTATTCGCGAACGTGGTGCTTGTGTATGTACAAGACAATGTGGGGTGGACTCTAGGGTATGGGCTTCCGACAATTGGGCTGACCATATCCATAATTATATTCTTAGTGGGCACCCCGTTCTACAGGCACAAGTTACCCACCGGGAGCCCATTTACTAAAATGGCAAAGGTGTTTGTGAGTGCAGTGAGAAAGTGGAGGGTGATGGTGCCCAAGGACCCTAAAGAATTGTATGAGGTTGAGTCGGAGGATTGTAGAAAAGGGAAGATGTACAAGATTGATCATACGCCTACACTCAAGTTCCTGAGTAAAGCATGCGTGAGAACAGAGGGCAGCAACAGCAACAACAACAACAGTCCCTGGAAGCTTTGCTCGGTGACACAAGTTGAGGAAACTAAACAAATGGTGCGCATGATCCCTATTCTAATAGCCACTTTCGTCCCTAGCACCATGATGGCTCAGGTGAGCACACTTTTTGTCAAGCAAGGCACCACCCTCAACCGGCACATTGGCAGCAGCTTCCAGATTCCCTCAGCTAGTCTAGCGGCTTTTATAACACTGTCTATGCTAATCACGCTCGTGCTATACGACCGAGTGCTTGTTAAAGTCCTTGCCAAATGGACCAAAAACCCGAGGGGCATTACCCTTTTGCAGAGGATGGGGATCGGCATGACCTTCCATATTGTTGTCATGGCAGTTGCATCGTTATGTGAGAGGTTACGACTGAATGCCGCTAGATCCCACGGCTTGGTCGAAAATGGGAACCCAGTGCCTCTATCTATCTTCCTTTTGCTACCGCAGTTCATACTGATGGGATCGGCCGATGCGTTTCTGGAGGTGGCGAAAATCGAGTTCTTTTACGATCAGGCGCCGGAGAGCATGAAGAGCATGGGGACGTCTTATTCGATGGTTAGCCTTGGGGCAGGGAACTTTATAAGCAGCTTTCTGTTGTCTACCGTTTCGCGGATCACGAAGGGTGATGGGCAGGAGGGGTGGATAAAGAACAACCTTAACGCGTCCCACTTGGATTATTATTATGCGTTTTTCGCCGTCTTGAACTTTCTGAATTTCATCTTCTTTTTGCTCATTGTTAGGTTTTATGTGTATAAGGCAGAGGTTTCAGATTCGATGAGAGTGCTTAGGGAGGAACTAGAGGCTTCAGAGATGTAATTTAGTTATTAGATAGTGAAGATTTATGGAGAATGAAAAACCCACCAAAGGATGTTTTTCCTATCCTCCTATCGTTTTAGTTCTAATAAACTCTCTTGTACAGTCAGGAATAATGTGTTTAATTATATGCTTTCTATTGCATCGATTCTGCAAGTTTTGTTTTGTCCATTTATTTGAAGTCACCATTATATTTCATATATTTTAATGGCAAACTTGTAAATTGTAACGTACATACATAACTTAATAAAAAGAATAAAGAATCAATTTAAATAAATAATTCAGCCTACAATAGAAGTTTGATAGAGTTGAACCTTGGTATGTGAACCTCTATAATTATTAAATGAGCGGGAAAAATTCAAAACTAGTCCTACAGGGGTGACATTTTTTTTCCTAATAGAATCCACAAAATATTAATAATCTCGCAGCTTTTAAAAAATGATCAAAAGTAAGACTTTTTTCAATTTTTCTGCCCAGAATGCCACGTCACACACACGTGGCCACATTCATCTGACGTGGCTGAGTACAATGCCAAGGGAAAAAAATCAAAACTAGTCCCACAGGTTTTGATAGGTGACATTATTGGTCCCAACGGAATCCATAAAATATTAAATAGTCCCGCCACGTGTGTATGACGTGGCATTCTGGGCCGGAAATTTGAAAAAAGTTCTACTTTTGATCATTTTTTAAAAGATGCGGGACTATTAATATTTTCTGGATTCCGTTGGGACAAAAAATGTCACCCCCTATACGTGTGGGACTACTTTTAAAATTTTCTCTTAAATGAGTTATTTTCACAGTCTTGTCCGTTTAAGTCAAGTAATAGAGTTATACCTCTTTTAATCAACCTTAAGTGTAAAAAATAATAGGGTTATAAGCTTTTGTCCACATTTAAAATTATTTTCACAGTCTTGTCCGTTTAAGTCTCAAGAGTAATACAATTATTATCTATTTTCTACCTATTTTAATCAACATTAAGTCTAAAAAACAATATGGTTATAAGTTTTTTTCCACATCTTATAACCAGTGTAATTTTTTTAGCCAGAACATTAAATATGAACATGTTATGGCTAGCTTGTAAAATAATTAATATATTATCTCATCTAAACATTTATACTAATAAAAATTTAATTTTAGCATATAAATTTATCCCTTGATATAAGAGAAAATAACAGTTGTACTTATTCTTGTTTTCCATAAAATATTTAAATATTATTTTAATATATAATAAAAAGGAATACTGTTAAATAGTCAAGTAGAATTGTTATAAAATTATATGAATTATTATTTTTTACAATATAGATTTATTATCTTTTTATGATTTGATATATAACTATAAATATTCTTAATGATATAATAATATGAGATACGAATTTACATAATACTATGAATTTATTCCTTAATGTTAAGATATTGAATTAAGTAATATATGATTCACTAATTTGTAATCTGTCTTTTTTTTTATATTGAAAATAATCACGTGATTGAGTAGATATAACAATTATCTATAAATCTCTTCATTTAAAGAATAATTTTTAAATTGGTCCAAGTGTTGAATGCAACCCAATTTTCTTGTAACTAAAATAAGAAGAGATTTTGAATTTCAAATTTTTCACTTCAAAACCACACGTAAATTTGGATGCAGATTTTATTGAAAATGAATTCATAGACACCCATAATTTTAGGGGCATTTAATGCTACTCTATTTTAGGATTTTAAAAATCTAAAAATTCTCTAAATATGGTGTGCAATTAATTATGAGTTGACTTTTATTCCTACTAATTCTAGTAAGTGAGATGACTTTTTATATAAGTAGATAGATTATTTATTGGCCCTTTTTTTTTTCAGTCATTATTATAGGCCTTGTGGCCCATTCTTTTATAGGCTATGTATGTAGCCCAGTTCTTACATCCTCACCAATATTGCAACTTACTTGGCCACATAATTTCATGAAAAAAATTAAACCACTTATCTGAAATAACTTTTATTTTCACATTTACAAAAGTTTTAGCTTCTATTAGTAAATGGTTGATTTGTGTTTTTTTTTTAGTGGGAAAAAATGCGTTGATATTTAGTTTATAACTTGTTGTTTATAAATGGTTTATGTATGCTTTATTTCTAATGTTGTATTTTTGTAAAAATTGTCTAACTTTAATGTATCTATTTTTTCAATCTTCATTTGTATCTTTTCCCATATCCCTTTCATTTTTTCTTTAGAAAGATTTTCAAAATAATTCCGTACCTGGGATAAATGAATATAATTTATTCTAAGTACATGACAATCATCAAATTAAAGTAAAAAAACAAAAAATTGACCCTGCCTAAGATAAAATTCAACAAACTATAAATAATTTTCTAATTCTCATTACATTTAAAAAAAAAAATTATCACACTCGAAGACCCTACTAACATGACAAATAAAAAACCAAAAAAAAATTATTTCATTTTCTTTCCAACTAAATCCTTTAATTTAGGCATGATATCTGCTTATTTATGGTTGATGTAAAAATAAAGATATAATTTTGACCGATCAAACTTTTATCACCGATCGAATATGCCTTTTTTGGGTTTTACGTACAATATTTTTAAGAAAAACAGATTTTATAGACATTTTTTTGATTAAAACGATATAATGGGAGAAAATAAATAAATAAAATAAGTAAATAAAATACTAATCTGAAAATAGGATGAATTAATTATTGTTTTACTATTAAATATAGTAAATATGATGACTTATTATATACTTATTTTGTAAACAATAATTTGTTAGTTATTGTTTATGGTTAATGTAAAATTATACATTATGTATTTAAATTGGATACAATTTCAAGCAACTTATATAATTAAGTGGTCTTGTAGACACGTGTAACGTGGAAAAGCATATTCTCAATGCAATATATAACATTGAATCAACTTCATCTTTTTCATTCGATAAATTTCTCACATTTCTATCTTTATTTAAATATTATTTTATTAAATTACAATATAACAAATTCAAAATTCAAAAACAGGGAATATGATCGATAAAAAAAGACGTGCTTGCGAACAGGGCCGTCTCCAGAAATTTGGAGGTCCCAGACAAATTTTACCTTTTCGAATTTCTCGATTGGAATTTGCGTGGTAGGGCTATTTAAAGATAGAATCTTACAAGAAAAAAAATCTAATTAAACAAGACTATTAAATATAAATAAATAATTGAAAAAATTGGCTTTTCTTGTTTTTCTAGACATTTGAAAAATTACCTTTAATAAATTATAAATGGTATTCAACAGTCACGAAGACAACAAGGAGGAAAAAATAAAAATCATATTACAACAAAGAATATTATTCTCACACAACTTGTTCTGACCGAACATCATAAGAAAACAAATGACCGAATATTATAAGATAACAAATGAAATATTTGGCCTACACAAAGCACATATTTTACTATTAGCCCCTTCGTTAATTAGTCTCTTCATTTGTGTAATGTGTCAAGTTTATATTTAGTTATTAGCCCTTTTATTTGTGTAAATAAACAAAACCAAACCCAAATACATAAAACATTAAAAAAAATTGAGGCCCCTAATAATTGAAGACCCTAGGCATGGGCCTATTGTGCCTTCCCCTAGAGCTGGCACTGTCCAAAGTTATTTTTGAAAAAGTAGTAAAAATTCGAGTAATTCAAAATAACGGGAAAATGAGTTACAAATGTTAAATGAGAATGTTGGAAACTCATTAGAGATGTTAGTGTGTATAATGAAAGTTTGACTTTAAATGTTATTTACATTATTTACGTTAAATGAGAATTCATGTTTTATTGAATAAAATTTTATGTTCTATTGCTATTCATTTAGATAAATGGTTCATCATGGATAAACAAAATATCATTTATCGCTTACTTGCAAAACATAAATAAATGATTCACAATTTAGATGGGATTGAACAAACCTTCATAATGATTGTAGTGTGAACGATATAGTTTACCTTGACTGACTAGTCACACTAGCACACATTGGTGTATTGAACGGATCTCAGAGAGGAGCTCGTTTTATAATGAATATTGTAAACGAACTAAGTCTCAGGTAATTACTACGTTCTCTTATTATTGCTTTATTTAGCAAGGTGAGGTTCATTGATATGGACCAATAACTGTCTCGGTTGGATAGTTATTCCTACATGAGATGACGTTCTGTTATTATATTTAAGGTCACCATGTACTTCACATAGTTGAGGTTTGATGATGTCCCCGAAGTAAGTTTAGAAGGATTGTCATATTAAACCCTGTTGGTGGATTAATTTCAAACGAAATAATAATAATTGATCGGTGTTAGCTTTGATTACAGAAATCAGTTAATTAAATTATCAATAATTAAATAAATTGACAAATATTATATTTGGCATATGGGGAGGTAATTCGAGTATATTGGAATTGAAGCTCATATCACAATTCTGGAACTAAATGGAGAGTATTTCAATAATAGTACTTTAATGGAATGATTGTATTACTCCAATTAGGATTAGTAGGCTTGGCCTACAGTCTAATCTTAATAGGAGAAGACAATTTAATGTCTCCGTAGTGTACTTATTGGAGCCTATATATACATCATCTCTCTTGGGTTTGGAAGACATAACTCATCATAATTATTTTTAGTACACAAGAGAGATTTTTTCCTTCCCACAAACGGAGTTCTAGAGGTGTAAGGATATCCATTAGAAGATCCAAATGCAATCGAGCATTCGACCACTGCGATGCCGAGTCCAATCGCCGGCGACCCGACGCATCCACCATGCGATGTTGACGTCCTCCCATCGACCCGACGCGACCCGCAAACTTCAGACAACCCTTTGTTTCATAGGTCTCCAGTTGCTTTCATACTATCGAAGCTTTGTATCAACCAACTCACCTCATATTGAAGTTCCTGGCACATCACAAACACATAAAAACACCACTAAAACAACTACCACAAAAAACTCAATTACGAGTACAAAGTTACAAAAAGCCCTCCTTTACCGCCAGCAATCCTCCGAAAACAACCAAAATAGTCGTCCCCCCACGAAGACAGACCCACAACATAAGCCAAGATCTAGAAACTGTTAACAACGCCTAACTAGATCCAGACCAAACAAGCAATATCTCCCTCTAAAGGACCAACTCCGGACCTGCACCAAGAGACAAGAAATTGTATCTTCCCTCCCCACGAACACCAAACAGACAACATCTGACAATCACCAGATCCGGACCGAACGAGCAATGTCCCCCTCCAAAGGACCAACTCTGGACCCGCAACAAGAGACAAGCAATTGTTACCCCTTGGACCCGCGAAAGAAAAAAGACGAGAGGACGAGGGTTTTTGATTTGGGAGAAAAGAGGATGAGAGAGAAAACTTCGTCCAAATCAATATTACCTATCAAAACAAAAATTCGCCGATAAGCATTCTTTTACAAGTAGTTTTATTAATTATCGCAGTTTGTGTTCATGGGGTACTGCCAATGCATTTCTAGATGTGGCAAAAATGGAGTTCTTTGCAAATATCTTCTCTTAACAAAGAACACTTAACACTAGACCACATGCCACCAAAGGATAATTAACCGATCAAAAGAGAACACTTAACACTTAATACTATCCTGCATGAAAGCTGTTCTATTTTAGTCTAGTTTATGTCATATTTTACATTTATTATCTGGAGAAGTAGTAAGAGGGAGTGCATCTGACGAAAT